ATATATTTTAAACCATTTTTGTCTTTATCTCATTTTTCATTATTATTTAATTAAACATTCTTTCAATTCACTTTATCTTTTCATATTTTCGACTTTGGTACATTGCAAACCTTAATTTTGTACTTTTTCGTCCTCATTTCTCCAGCAACAAAAAACATTAGAAGAACCTCATCCCTCTCTTTTTCTCCATCTTTACGGCTTCGCTTTCTTTTTGATCTCAAAAGCTAGGGTTTTCTCCCTTTTCCTCTATTTCGCTCCATAAACTTCAAAAAGCCTAAGCCCCTCGGTATCACCTTCTAGAATCTTCTCTTCCTTTTTTTGTCTCGATTCAGTTCTAGGGTTAACAGATCTGTTTTCAAATATGTTTTGGAAGCTCACATCTCTCTCCGCTTGTTCACCGGTAACGTCACTCGATCCAATTATACATGTCTAAATGCTCTTGTAGTTGTAATTTTGATTTGGATAAGCAAGTGTGATTTTGTGGAATTTGAATTTTGAATAATTTTGAATTTTTGATTCATTCTTTTGTCGCCGCATTATGCGTGGCTTAAGCTCGTGGACAGTGTCTTATGTGTTAAAATTGAATAGTGTGTAGTTTATGAATGTCCTATATCCGAGCACACAGACTACGTAACAACAAAATTACTTTGTGTTCTGCGCTGTTATATCTCGAGCACTTGTTTAGCCTACAATTGCCCTAATTGGATCGTGTAATTTGCTTATGCTATATTGGTGCTCAGTGGTGGAGTCAGGAATTCTGACAATGGGCCACATATGCCATTTAAACATGTATTTCTCTAATGATAAGAGGATTGAAATTCTATATTTGTATAAACAAATTGTTTTTACCCTATTTATGCAGTGTAATTTTCTGGCGAGGGAGAATTTAATTGAATCCCCTTGGTTGCAACTTTGCATGTGGCTCTGCCACTATTGGTTCTACATTGTCAAATGCAAGTTAATTCCTGTCTCTGCTGCTGTTACTTCTTGTGCTTGTTTAATTATATTTCCGCTTATTAGAATTGATTGCAGTAATTGGCTAGAGTCAGGCTTCATTTGATGTTTTGTCCCCCCCCCCCCTTTTTTTTTCCTTTTCTTTTTGTGAATGGGATGAAAATGGAGTCCTGATATATGCCTTAATCAATGTGTGATGGCTGAAATTAATTGCTTAGAAGACAGTGTGGGAATTACTGGTGTTGGAAGTATTCGATTTCGAGATCATTGGTCTCAAATATTAATAACGGGCAAGATCATTAGTCTCAAGTCGTTATTACTTTTCAGTGTTCCTGAGAATTTTTAGAGTCCAATGGGTTATGCCAGGAAGAATAAAACTTGCTCTATGCAGCTGGTATGCATTACCATTTGCTAGCAAGCACACTATTGAAATGCAGTTCCTACTTGCATTCTCTGGAATACTTGGCTGGAGAGAAACAAATAGGTGTTTTAATGAGACGACTGAAATCTAGATGCTGTAAGACAGTAAGAGTTTTTATTTGTGGTGTAGGAAGAACTTTAAATCTGACATAGCCTCATTGTTGGATCTTTTGAATTCCTTCGATATATATAAGGAAGACTTCTCTTCTGATATTCTCTTATAAGTACCTTCTTAGTACTCATTAACACAATCTTTACTGTTTCATCATGAAAAGAAAAATAAGAGAAAACGGATAATTGACTTAGGATAAGAATAAGATAGTGTCTAATTAATAGTCTGCACAATTTGATTGGGTTGTACATGCTGACCAACACTTTCTTTATGCTGTTTTTTCCGATATAATACTACTCTCCCATTACTTATTAAAAAAGAGGGTTAAAGCAATGTAGCGATTCGAAGCGAGGGTTTATTGCTTTGTAGGTCAAGCCATGCACTTCAGTTAAATGTGCGCTTCAAGTAATGACTTAAGTGAATTAAACAAAAAACTGTCGGTTCTTTAAGGCTCAACTTTGAAGAGTTGGAATAAAATCGGTAATAATATATTGGGTGTTGAATTTATTTATTTATTGCATTTTGATTATTATATTACTAATGCATATATGTTTGGTTTTAATTTTCTGTAATTGTGCACTTCACTTGAAAGAAGCGTGTGCTTCACTTCCTGTTTTCGCTTCAAGCTCCAAGGGACCTTGTCGCTTTTATGTGCTTTTCGCTCTTTAAAATACTTATCTATAGGAATTGTTTTCTTGTGTGTTCATGTTGATTAAGTGAAAGTTTAAGTTCTCTATTTATCAACTTAAAAGAATGAACATGACCTGCACAATTTGTGAGTGGTTTTGGTATAGAGTAGTCCAAAGTCTTTTCTTTCATGGATTGATATGGAGTATTTCAGATTGATGATTCTTCCTTGCAACCATAGTTCTCACCTACTTGTTGGACCCATCCGTTATTCATAGTGTGATTTTCCAGTACTTTAACGTGCTTCTGAGTATGGAATTTTTCTAGCTTGACCCTTTTAAACCTCTTTTTTGAATTTCATAGTAAGTTGGCTATTCTCTATTTTGACTTAAAGATGTCTGATGATTTCTGTTCTTTATGTTGTTACCATAATCCGACACTTATCCATTGGCTTCTGCTTTTGTTTTCCTCTAAATTGTAGATATATCCAGATTTTGAAACATTTTTCCCTTGGATTTGCAGGTTGAAGCAGTATTAGACAAGGAAAACTTCACATTGGAAGAGCTCCTCGATGAGGAAGAGATAATTCAAGAATGCAAAGCTTTAAACAGCCGCCTCATAAATTTGTAAACATTCTTGCAGTTTTCATTTATAAATGCCTCTCATTACCTTAAAAAATGACTTTCTTTTATCATGCATATGCTTCTGTTAATTGTTTCATTTTAACCATCAATTGGCATATAGTTCTAGTGAAAGAATTAATAATCACATAATTCAGTATTCATACAGCTCAAAGTCCCAAAGTTTATTGACAATGTTTTATGATTTTGAGGTTTCAGTTTGAGAGATCGAGCCCAGGTTGAGCAGTTGCTGCGCTACATTGTTGAAGAGCCTTCTGAGGATGCCGATAACAAGCGGAAGTTTAAGTAAGTTATCATGGAACATGAATAAGCTTTAATTATTTGAATAATCTAATTGCAAGACAATATGTTTATTTTTTATTTTAGATATTAGGGACCACTTCAGTTTCTTGTTTCTAATTATTGTTTTGCACCATAGATTTCCTTTCATTGCCAGTGAGATATTCACCTGTGAAATTGATGTCATCCTTAAGACTCTAGTGGAAGAAGAAGAGGTATGGTAATTCACTGGATGCAGTTATTACATTTTAATTTTAAATTGCAACTGCAAAAAAAGTCATTACATTTTAGTTTCACAGAGGAAATTGTTTTGCTTGAGAGTTCAATCCTTTTTTATCATATTGGCGCAGCTCATGAATTTACTCTTTTCCTTCTTGGAACCAAGTCGTCCACATAGTGCATTGCTTGCTGGGTATTTTAGTAAGGTATAGCTTCATTCATCCACAAGGTTCATGTATACAAGATTAATGAAATGTTATTTGGTTAAAGCAAGCTGATTTATGTACTCTTACTGCATACAGGTTGTGATATGCCTCATGTTGCGGAAGACTGTTCCCCTCATGAATTATGTCCAGGTAGCGTAGTCTATGCGCAGATGCATTCTGCAGGATACTTTGCTGCTTCATTTATTTAAAGTTTTGACTTTCTATTTTGAAGAAATAATAAGATGTTATTTTTTTATCAAGAAAAGGATTATGTTAGTGGAAATCAACAACTTGGAAAAATTTGTAGTCTGATATGATGATATATTATTTGTCTAGTATGATATGATGCTATATTAATTATTATGGCAGTGCTGAAGAAACAAAGATTTTAGTACAGCAGCAATTTTATATGCAGACCTCAAAGATTGGCTTAAGTATTGGTTTACTTTCATCAGTAACTCAATTCATATGGTCAAACTCAACCTATCTTAATCCCGAGAGTTTTGATTGATTGATGATGAAGGTTGTTAACCACAAAAGTGTCTAATCCTCATATGAGTCCCCGGCTAAATATTATCTTATATTGACACCTTGTTGTTATAAATTGCTCATCTAGTAAGTGATCTTGTGTTCATTTTCATCCAGTTATCAAGTTAGTGTCTAGAAAATCATAAAATTATAATTTTTTGGTAGAAAGAAAAGAAAACATCATTTCATTGATGCTGGTAGATTAAATACCAAGATTTTTGTCCATATTCGGGAATCGCCAAAAGTTTTATGAAAAGAAACAAAAGTTGAAAATTTATAATCTCTCTCCAAAACTAGTTCAACCTTAGAAAGCCACATGTCTTCGTTTGTTACATGTTGCATTTACATTTCAACACCTATTTATTACTTGCTTCCCATTTTATCTTTATACATGAGTATTTATTTATCAAAAAGCGAGGTGTGTATATTTATTTGTGGTCATGTCATTTTAATTTGTTCCCAGCGATGTAGTAGTTGATAATCTTTAGCATCATTCATTTCAAATGTCATATTATTTTTCGATATAAGATTAGGCAACAGTTTTTTTTGGGCAATGGAAATTTATCATTTTCGAAAACCAGTTCCGATTCATGTCGGGTCGTTCGACTACGACAATCATTCATCTTGTAAGGAGGTTGGTGGAGTAGTATAGGGAGAGGAAGAGGGACTTGCATATGGTGTTCATTGATCTAGAGAAAACATATGACAAAGTTGCAAGGGAGGTTAGAGGTGTTCTTATGGCTTACACTAGGGCAATTAAGGACAATGTACGATGGAGCTAAAACTCATGTGAGGACAATGAGAGGGGACTCAAACTACTTTCCAGCTGTGATGGGGTTGCACGAGGGGTCAGCTCTTAGCTCGTTTTTATTTGCCTTGGCACTGAATGCACTGATGCGTAACATTCAAGGGGAGCTGCCATGGTGTATGTTTTTTGCGGATGATATTGTACTGATTGACGAGCCACGAGACAGTGTTAACGCGAGATCGGAGGTTGGGAGACAGACCTTGGAGTCTAAGGGTTCAAGTTGAGTAGGACCAAGACAGAGTATTTGGAGTGCAAGTTCAGTGACGAGACTAATGAAGTGAACGTGAGGCTTGATACACAACTCATCCCCAAGAGAGAGTTTCAAGTACTTGGGGTCTATAATCTAAGGAGATGGGGAGATTGACGAGGATGTTACCCATCGTATTGAAGCGCGGTGGGTGAAGTGGAGGCTCACATCCGGTGTTTTATGTGATAAGAATGTGCCGCTTAAACTTAAAGGTAAGTTCTACTGAGTGCTAGTTAGACCGACTAGGGCAGTCAAGGACTCCCATCTCCAGAAGATGAAAGTAGAAGAGATGTTGAACTTCAGAAAGGATGTGCAGGTATACCAGGATTGATAAGATTATAAATGAAGATGAGGATGTTGAGATGGATGTGCGGGCATACCAGGATTGATAAGATTGTAAATGAAGATATTTTGGCCAGGGTGAGAGTGGCTCCTGTGGAGGACAAGATATGGGAAGCTAGACTTAGATGGTTTGGGCATGCGAATAGAAGCACAGATGCTCCGGTACGGAGGTGCGAGAGGTTGGCCTTAGTGGGTTTGAGAAGAGGTAGAGATAGGCCAAAGAAGTATTGGGAATATGTGATTAGGCAGAATATGGCGTTGCTTCAGTTGTCAGAGGACATGACCCTTGATAGAAAGGTGTGAAGATCGAAGATTAAGGTAAGAAGTTAGTAGGTAGTCGAGTGTGTTTGTTTCCATTCTAGTGGTATTAGTGGCAGTCTTTTATTCTATTATTGGTAGATTTTTATCACTTCATATTGTTCCTTTTGCCTTGTTTTCTTATTTTCTTGCTGTCGTTACTGCTTGTTGATATTTCTTTACTTGCATCTTTTCTTGAGCCGATTGTCTTTTGGAAACAACCTCTCTACCTCACGGTAGGGGTAAGGTGTGCGTGCACACTACCCTCCCCCGACCCCACTTGTGGGATTATTCTGGGATAGTTGTTGTTTATGTGCCCCCTAAGCTTGTTAATTTCATGATGTGTTTGTCCTCCCTCTTTGTGTTGCTTCTATTTCATTTCTATGTTTCTAGAGACAACCACTCTGCATTGCCCATTATCTTAAATGTCTATTTTGCATTTTTGCAAACCTCTCAATTCCGCTGCAGGATACTCTTAGGTTCCTTCCCGAGACTACCAATAATTACTTTCTTTCTTTTCCCTGGTAAGCATTGTAGTTTGAGTCCTCTCAAGGGTGGGTTCTCTTTTTTGAGAAGGATTAGTGGGGGCAGGGTTACATCTTTCTGCAAATTCGAGTTAGCTCTTTTTTTTGACAAAGGTAACAGTTATGTATTATTAAAAAAAGAAACCCAGCACAAAGGTTGTGCTGGTAACCATTTACAGATTCCAAAAGAAGCAAAAACCTATCCTTGTTCTTCTTACAAGGATTCTATGATGTCTAAACCTATACGAGTTAGCTCTTTTATTTCTTCATCGTTTCCTCTCATGCTTCTTGCGTCTTTTATTGGTGACCTGTCTCAATTGAAGGCCCTGTCTCCTTTGACCTATATATCCCTGACCTCTGTGTTTGCATCCCTACCCTGTAGACTATCTGAAGGCAGGAAAGATAAAGAACTAATATTTTCCCATTTGTGCTTCTGTTAGTTTTCTTCGCATTGTCTAAGTTGCTTCTACATTTCTCTGTGAGCTTCAAATGTTTTTGTATTTCTAGATCATTGTAAGTAGGTGCTAGATAGCTTCCTTATATAGTAATTTAACAGAACTCACCTAGCTCTGTCTGGATTTTACTGTTGGACAGCTCATGCTTGGTTTCACTGTTGTTGAAAAGTTCAAGTAAGATGCAGTGTGATCTGAAATAGTAATTGGACTATATGTTTACTTATCCAAGGAAAGAATAGATAAGAAAAAAGTAATTATGGGTTTAGTAAACTGCATAACAATTTTTGGAGTTGTATATTTTTCTGTTGGACAAGTAAATTTCTGATGTAGTTTAACTGTATAATTGCATGTCTACTTACACATGGTTAGTGGATGGCTGAGCAAGGAGGGTCAAGAGCTCAAAACTTGCTCAAGTCGTGCATGAAATAATTGCATGGAGTCACTTTTGGGAAGAAATGTTGCTCCAAGCATCTTTATTACAGGGAGTGGGTTAATACATAGGGGACCATATCTAACTCCTTCCTTTCACTTGGCAAACTTAGGAGGATAGTGATTTAATCCTTAATAGGACGCCTTAGCAATGTGTACATGTTTTATTGCTTTTCTTCCTCTCCTCCCGCCTAAAGTATTGGTTATATTCCGGATCATTTTGATTTTCTTACAGGCGCATCATGATGTTTTCCGCCAGATGGTCGATTTGATTGGTATAACATCCATAATGGAGGTTAGTGGTGTAGTTTTCCATTCTTCCATCTGCCACAATGTGTGTATGATTGTGATATAAAGTCAACTACGACAATTAGTCTGATGAAGGCATCCCTCTGATGAGCTGTTTCTTTATAGGTTTTGGTGCGACTTGTAGGTGCCGATGATCAAATTTACCCCAACACATCGGATGTGATGCAATGGTTAACTGACAGCAATTTGTTAGAAATGATCGTGGATAAATTGAGCCCCTCTGTAAGTTAGAGAGATTTGTGGTTACCTGATTATCTGCTACTTTTCTTTAGTATTCCTTTGATATATGTTGTGGTTGACATTTACAGGCTGTCTAGGCATTCATCTTGCACTAAGAATAACAGTATATGATTGTGCACTCGCGCTTTCGTCGATCGATTCTGTCAATTAAGTCTAGTTATCTTTGCTTATTGGCAGTGCATTTTGCTGGCGATACTGTGTATTTTTATGTTTTAAATGTCAGCGTATTGCTTATTGAATGGTATGGCAGTTTAATGACATTCTGCTTCGGGGCAACTGGAGCTGCAATGTGTAGTTGACAGGAATTACGTATTCCTGCAGCAGTAAACTGAAAGACCAAATTCCTTCCATTGATGGATCCATGTCTCTTTGACTCCTCTTTGTTGATTTCAGCAGGTTTCATTTTTGACCTAGAAATCTGTTTTTTCCCTAATGTTCATGTCAGACAGGGAACATAGGGACAGAGATAAAGGGGGCTTATCAACTTGTTCTGCCCTACGATTAATAATTTTTGTTTTACTTTATCATTTAGAGAACTTCTGTTCCCAAGCTTAGCTCAGATGCAGCTTCCTTCTTTTTATGTTTTTTCTTGGGGGTGGGGGGAAGGGAAATGTGAAGCAGTGTAGAATTCAGATACCCGACGTGTCAATGCTTTTTCTTTTTGAATTTTATAAAGAGACCTAACAAGAATTAGCTATCCCTTTAAAGGGGGTGATCTAGCATTTCTGATGTACTGTTTTATTGTCCAGAGTCCTCCTGAAGTACATGCTAATGCAGCAGAGACTCTATGTGCAATTACCAGAAACACCCCATCACCTCTTGCCACTAAATTATCTAGCCCAAGGTCTGTAGGACTCCAGTTGATACTTCTCTTGAAAGCTCTTTTTTCTTTGGGATTCTTTCCTGATGATCTTAATTTTGACTGAATAAGTTGCTCAACTTCCTTTACATGCAGCTTTGTTTCAAGGATATTTTGTCATGCCCTTGAAGATTCACAGTCAAAGTCTGCCCTTGTCCATTCTTTGACTGTCTGCATATCTCTGTTGGATTCAAAAAGATCAATCCCATCATTTATGATGTATTCCTTCCGGAGCCAGCATGTTTACGAGTCACCCATGCATGTCAGTCCTGACACTATTGACGCAATGTTGCCTAAACTTGGTAAGTTTCTTTTTGCAAAAAATTTCATATGATTTTGAATTGCTAAATACTTGTTTAGATACTTTTCTACCCTTTAGATCAATTCAAAGTTTTCTAAAAGAGAGTGGGTGGTAGGAAATCATGAAAACGCAAAGCTGTTGCAGAACAGGCCACCAACAAAAAAAGAGAGAAGGAATCCTTTGCTTCCTAATATAACTGAATGTGTTTGCTGCCCCTTGACCCTTATCTTTAAGAGTTTCATAACCGTTGCTCATTCTGGAACAGGTGACTTGGTCAAGCTGTTGAATGTGACCTCTGATGAGAAGATTCTGCCTACGACATATGGTGAACTCAGACCACCTCTAGGGAAGCATCGCTTAAAGGTTTGTATTGTATACATTCTTTGAATTGAGTGAGCAGATCTTGTTTATATACTACAATTTGATGAATTTAGGTTGATTGGTGTTATTTCAGAAGGATATTTATAGCTAGAATTTCCAATAGTATGGACTTTCATTATCTGTTAGAGATCAAGTTGGCTCATGTTTGTATTCTGGATGAATTGTAAATAGCTTGATAACCTTTCTTGTTATATTTGGTGGATTTGTTGAAACGTATTCAGCATTTAATCTGTGGAGTAGAAGCTCAGAAAGGAGTGTTAGCATGAACATATGTTCAATATTTTGCATGCTTTCTTTCACTTCCACTGTTAAATGATTGAGTTGTTTATCTTAGCCGAGTCTCTTTATCTTTTTATATTTAGTGGTTTGCTTCTTTATTGTAGATTGTGGAATTCATTTCTGTGCTACTGAAAGCTGGCAATGAAGCTGCAGAGAAAGAGTTGATCAGCTCTGGGACGATTGAGAGAGTCCTGGATCTCTTTTTTGAGTAAAATTTTATGCCTATGCTCATGAATTCTGGAACTCTGACTGGCTGGTTTACTCAGCAAAAGCCATTGATTTTGTGTTGGTGGCTTTCTTACTACTTTCTTCTTTGGTCCGAACAAATTACTTGATTGCTGTATAGGTACCCTTATAACAATGCATTACATCATCATGTGGAGAGTATAATATACTCATGCTTGGACAGCAAAAACAATATCATTGTCGACCATCTTTTTGAAGAGTGTAATTTGATTGGGAAGATACTTCAAACGGATAAGCAGGCCACAATTTCTAGTGATGAAAAACAGGTTGATATTTCTAAATAACTGATTTACTTTCTATTAAATTATTAGGTTTTGAAATTGCCTCGTTCTTTTCGAGTTATCGTACCCCATTCTCTCCAAGAACAGAACATGTTAAATGGGAACACTGCAACCTCACTGTATTTAATAGCTTGATATGCTTTAATGGTGTTTTTCAATTGATGCAGCCAACTTTACCTGCTACTGCGAAGCAAGCACCCCGAGTGGGTAACATAGGACATATAACACGGATTTCTAACAAACTTGTTCAGTTGGGAAAGAATGACAACCACATCCAAGAACATCTTGAGGTGTGTGAAAGCTTTATACTTTGTTGCTAGATATGCTTTCAACAACAGCGAACTGCATTTGAGCACATCATCAACCAAAATTGTTCAGTTAGATTCTGAAAGTTCTCTCTGAGTCAATTGTTTATGTCTCTAAGCAGTGCTCTCCGCACAACTAAAAAGGAATTAAGGATGGACGTCGGCAAATAGTTTCAAAATACAGTTACCTACCCTCCTGTGCTTCAAAGGGATATTTTTGATATGAAATTGATCTTAGCTTGTTTTTTAGAAGTAGGGAAGAGAGCTCGGCACTGATTTTACTGTGCATTGTAATAAAAACTGTTTGATTGATTTTTAAGCACCACGTTCCTCTTCACAAATATGTGATTATTTACTTTGTTAAACAAAATCATTCGTCTGCCTTTGATGTCAATATTTAGTTTGTGGTGTCCTATGCAAATTTATTACTGCAGTATCTCATTAGATTCCTGTCACTTCTTTTTATTGTTTTGGGCTCATGATATTGATTGAGCAGCAGAAGTCGGTGAAAGGTTCTGCTTATTGGTTCTATATAATAAATTTTGATGGCATTGGATTTCGTGCAACATTTCATCTTCTCACATGTTAATCTGTATTCTTCATGCCAGAAAAATATGGAATGGAGTGATTGGCAAATTACTGTTTTACAGGAGCGTAATACGATCGAAAATGTCTACCGATGGGCTTGTGGGTACGTTTTGCCTCTTCTTTTTGATTGTGTAACTGATCGCCAATATTATGTCATTGATAGTGTTTTTCCGTCAATCAAATATGTGCTCGTCCCAAATTAGTTAGGGCTTGGCTATATGGTTTCCCTTTGTCCATTCATACACTTCTAGTAATGCGTCTTTTAAGGCAATTAGGAATTCTGTAACTTTAGAGGTTCTTTTCTAATTTCACACTTATCCTATAGGGACATACAAGTTCTAGCCCTCTGTCTAACACCACATGCGACGTAACTATAACAACTACAGCAGCTGAACCACTTATAGTGTTAGTACTTTGTTGTCTTTACTAAAACAATCGTTGTTGTGCCATGTCATTTTCAAGTATCTCAACTCTGCCCTCATCTGGTGGAATGAATAAATGGAAAAAGCAAAACAGATTTTCAAAATGATTGGAGTAGTAAACAGTGAGGAGTTTTAACAATAAAAAGCGGACTATATTATAAAGATACTTCAGAGAGAGAGAGAGAGAGGTGTCTTCGTGAGCACCAATCTCTGTCTGTTGGACCTACTTTGATGTATGAACTTTCTAGTATCTGAAGAAAGGTCGAAAATGGGGTAGAAAAGATAAGGGGTGGGTGGGAAAGCAGGGAATTAACTGCTGATGCGTTTTTGGTGGACCGCTCTCATGTCCTTTACTGTGTGATCTAGTAGTGACAAGAAGTGTCACAATTTATTAGATGAAAAGCTTCTAGTGAAATCATTCAATCAGATAGTCAAGGTGACCTCATCTGAATACTATAAACATAAATGTCACAATTCGTAAGAGAGTGGAGAAGGAGAGGTGGTTAGGTTTTGTTCTCTTTTTGGAGCAAAGAACTAAGTGTTCCAGCTTACTCCCTTCTTACCTANGCCTCTTCTGCTCTAGTGCCCTTGTCAATTCCTACATCAACTACTGGAATAGAGGTCATGACGAATTTTTTAAACATGAGCAGCCGGCCAACTGCATTGCAAGACCGGATGAGGGACAGTGATGATGAAGATGTGCATGATAGAGATTATGATGTAGCAGCTTTAGCCAATAATCTTAGCCAAGCATTTCGCTACACCATATATGACAATGATGATGCTGAAGAGGTAAGGGTTTATCTAATGCATTGTAAATCAGGGTTGCTATCTCTCTTTCTGGTTTTTCAAAATTCTATTTCCCAAAAAAATCAGGGTTGCTATCTCAGCCTATTCTTTCTTTTTGGGGGAAGGAAGTTTAGAGGGGTGGGGGCGGGTTTGGGTGAGGGAGGGTGTTCTGCAAGCAGAAGAGAAGAAAAGCGGAATACCACTCTGGAAACTTTGCCCCAATTTTGGGCTTTGGGATGCTATTGGGTTATGGTTACACATTTGTCAATTCATTCATGGTCTTCATCACTTTTTTACAGGGTCATGCAGCTGTTGATCGAGATGATGAGGTAATACTTTTATTCCGTGATTGACTTTACTTTTGTATGTTTTAAAGGTCACTCACTCTTTTATTGATGATATCATTAGCCTCTGGCATTCTCACTGCTCTGTGTTCATGCCATATAGGATGTTTACTTTGACGATGAATCTGCTGAAGTTGTGATATCATCCCTCCGATTGGGAGGTGACCAGGGGAGGTGAGTTCACAGTTCTGTAGTTTTAAAGGAAAGTTTTGTGCAAGAGTCAATACATTACACGTGTTTTCTGCAGCGTCTGTACTATAATTGGGTGTAGGTAATTAAAAATAAAATGGCCCTCCAAAAAATGTTAAAAGCAAGAAAAAGAAGAAAAAAAGAGGATGAGGAGAAAGAAGAAATTTTTGTATTCCTCCGTTCATTTGACCATAGAAAAATGCACGCCCTTGTGTTCCGTTGGTTCCTTTGCGTGTGTTAAAATGGTAAGTTAGTGATGCGGCGAGGTTATAGCATCTGTTCTTTCTATATGGACTTATTATTGTGTGTGTGTGACAATTTCTTTTTCGTTTCTTCCACTTCGTGCAGCAGTTTATTCACAAACTCAAACTGGTTTGCTTTTCAAGATGATAGACTTGGCGATGCACCTCTGAACACCTCACCTACAGAGGCAATGGAAGAGATCAACCTTAATGGAACATCAAATGATGGGAATAGCAATAGTGATGACGAGGTAGTAGTAGGAGAGGAGGACGAATTGGCTGAGAGCAAAAATTCTACAGATGCAACACCCACTTCTACTTCAAATGCTGTTAGTGGATTGGGTGGATTGGATTCTGTCAATGGTGGTAACTTCAGTCAACAAAGCGAGAAAGCAGGTGTGTCAGATGACATGGGTTTCTTCCGCTTTGAGACGTCAGACAATGATGACCCCTTTGGAGACAGGCCTATGCCTGAATGGGCAGCATGGGGGGATGCGTCAGATTTTCAGGTTGGTAGATCCTCTGTGAACCCATTTGAAGATCCTAGTAACTCTAGTGGCCATCTGGCCAATTCAGGGGAGGCAACAACTCCGTTGGTAAGTTCCACTTCTGGTGGTAGTGGAGAATCTCTTCCAAATGGTGTCTCAACATCTCCAGATTCTAGCAAAACTTCAACTGGATCTGATTCTAGTCAGAAAGCAACTGCTGTTCCTTCTTTGTTTGAAGAGGATGTTGAATTTGTTGGGGTAGAATTAGAGGGTACTGAAAAGGCAATGGAACATGCTCTTAAGGAGGGGATTGTTGGGGAGGCTGCTCCTTTGAAAAGGAGCACTGTTCCTAAGAATCCTGAAAAGGAGAGTACAGATGATGGTGGGGCAGGAATAAAGGAATACAATGATGCAAACTACTGGAGGGTTGACCAAGAAGTTGCAGTACTGGAGTAACTGTATGCGGAAATCCGTTGAGCTTCATTTGAACCTGGGATTCAGCGCTGATTGCTTGGATCCCCATTTTTAGTTGGTGAGGTTATGCAGCCAGTTGTGTACAGTGGACTTGTTCTCTGATCGGGATCAAACGATAGGCTAATATAATGGTTGTAACTTATTATTTACTGTTACACTTCTTGATGTTTATTGTTCAGCTTCTTTTTTTCCCAGTTATCAAATTTTTGATCTCTTCTCCCTATACATCCGTAATATTGTATCTGGTGTAAAATCTGGATAAAGTAGTTCCAGTTTAAGGCAGGCTTAACCGCTTAAGGGCTGCGGTGTTGGAATAATCTGGCTTCATATCTTCGTTTTGTTAAATTATGGATACAGTTGGCTTTGTTATATGTTATTCTGAGTGCATTTTTCCAACAAAAGGCAATAGTTGCTGAATTCCATATTGAGGATCGAAAAGTTGCTTGTTTCATTTTTCTCGAATTGGTCTTCCAAAGTGCCTGGTCCCCTCATCAGAAGAAGTGCTTATTCCATTTGGAGAAGCTACTTGCTTGTTTCTTATTCGAATGACTGGTCCAGATGTTGTCAGAGATTGAGAATCTGTAAGTACCAAACTAAACTTCCATTTTGTGATTATGGGTTTCTTGAGGTTCAGTTTCTGCAGCTTTATTGCAAGTCTTCTACAGAATATCACATCCTGCATGCCAGCGATTGACGCACACTTCTTTTACTGCAGGAAGTGTCCTTTGGCTTCTTTGTGAAAACATGAATGGTTTTATGCTTTTCTTGTTTGGAGTGATTGGCAAATGCCTTGAGCAAATGAAGAGGGTATGCCAAATTATTGGTCTGCCTTGATGTGATTTTCAGCACAGGTCATTGAGCTTTTAGCGGAAATACTGTGTAGTCTAGTGTTCGTTTTTTTGAGTCATATCTGGATAATGCGCCTGGCAACAGTGATAGAGATGAAGATGAAGATTCCGTTATCCTTTATTTCTACGTTGTTTGAGATAAGGGTCCATCAGATGAACTTTGTCCTATTGACAGACTCAGTGTGGGGCAAGTAGTGAAACGGTAATCTCGCAAATTACTGACTTAATATTACAGTTGCATTTACTTCAAATGATGACATTATGAGTCGGGGATTTTTTTTATTTTTAACAAACGATTCATGGCAGTGTGAATGTATAGTTTCCATTTGCGTCAAAGGAATAGTAATAGAAAATATGTATACCTTGACATTCGTAGTAAATCTTTGAAGAAAGTGCTGATTATGTTTTGCAAGGCGCACCAGTAAGGGAAATGAAAACCTGTAGGCTTTAATTGTGGCTACGGAAAAAGGGTAAAATATATCCTACTACTATGGAAATTTTTTTAAAGTTACCCTCCATCATACTAATCGAGCAAAAATATTCCTATCGTTTTACTATTGGACAAATATACCCCCAGGTTAGCGGAGGGGTCACATGTCAGCCATTTAAGCCATTTGCTGGGTTTATTTTTACACTGACTCGACCCAATAGCAAGTACTCACTCTAAAAGTTAAACCCTTATTCAACATCCCTACTCCTCCCCCCAAGTTCAAGTCTTCAGACCGACCTTGTGAACTTCAACAAATTCTTCAGCAATTAAATTTTCGTACTGAATTTCTGTTGTTTTCTTCTTCTTATTGTTATGTGGTTTATTTTCGGATTTTTGGGTAAATAGTGAGAAAGAAACACACCTTTATCCATTACCACTCTAAAAAGTTGTCAACATAATAACTAGATCTTAAAATCCTATTCATTTGACCATTCTCTAGGCTATTACACAAAAAGTGACAAAGAGCTGTGAGAGTGAGACGGACACAACAAAGACTGAATTCTCATTTCTACAGAAAGATCAAGATAACTGAAGTCTCATTGTTGATCTATGCCTGTAACAGCACATAAATTATAGGTTTAATTTGTTCCTTTTCTGTTTTCTTTACTGGAACCCCAATTTTGGATTTAACTTCGTCTTTAACATGAATCTCTCTCGCTTTAAACTTCATCCCTCACAAAAGGAATTAGATGTTGCGGAAGCCAAATGTATATAGTGTGAATAAGTCACAGCTACTATACCAAAAATTATGACAGCCACCAAATAATAAATAAGACAATAAAACAACAATAAAGGGAACACCAGAATTTACGAGGTTCGGCTAATTTTGCCTACTCCTCGGATACAACCAATATTTTATTTCACTCCAAAAAATACAAGTGAAATAATACTAAAGAGAGAAGATACAAATGCCTTAAACAGATGAGAAG